TTACCTGTTGACGATGTTATTGAGCCGGCTGGCCTGTGGGATGGTGGAGTCCTCCCCGCTGAGCTTGGTTGGGGATTGGAGGTCAAGGTTGTCGGGCTCCATGGGTGGCTGGCAGGCAGGGGGCGCAGTGTAGGTTCGAGGGGAGAGGCGGCCCAGCTCCCCCTGCTCAGGACCCTCGGGCTTGGCGTTCTGGTTCAGGCTATTGAGCACGATGAACTTGTACTTCTTCCAGTTGCAGGCTTTGGGGTCGGTGGGGCTCTTGGCTGCGGGGGAGCCCGAGGTCTGAAGGATGCAGGCATTCTTGCTGCTGCAGGACTCCGTGGGTGAGTTGGGCTGGCAGTCGGACTTTTGTGGGCTCTGTGGACTAACCAGACCCTTCCGGTTCAGGGGTGCATTGGGGGGCTCGAAATGCAGGGCAATCTCATCCTCTGAGGAGGGCCTTTCTTCCTCCTTGCCGGACTTGTCACAGGGGCAGTAGGAGGGGTTCCGGGCCGAGGGGGCGGCAGGCTTGGGCCCCTCAGCCACGCTGTAGTGCATATCACCCCGCGTCTCCTCGGGGGCGGCCTCCTTAGGCGAGTAGATGCTGCTGTAGCACATACTGGGGGACACCTCCATGGGCGGCCTGTGTTCACTGGGCATTGACCTGACACTGTCGCAGGGAAGGCTGCGCTCCTTGGGGAAGGGGTTGGCCATGGGCATCCGGGCATCCCGCAACTCCTCGTCGGAGAAGAGGAAGCTGTTGACTGGGAGGTGGCTGTACACGGGATAGGAGGCTGGTGGGGTAGACAGGCCACTGTACAGGCTGGAGGCAAAGCTTCTGCTCTCACACCCCGGGGCACTCCTCAGCGGCAGGCTGTTCTCCACTACCTCCCGACCACGGTAGGCCATGATGTCTTGGGGCATGAGCATCCGGCCACCCAGGAAATCGTCCCGGGGAGGCTTCATGGCAGGAACCATCTCTGCTTCACTGTGGGAGAGAAAGATGAAATTGACCCCCCCATCAGGGCTGAGCACTCTAAAAATGACACCCCCACCCCCAGGTCCCCAGCAGCCGCCACACTCTCAGAGGGGTGACGATGAACGGATGTCCTATTTAGAAAACATTGAGCATGGTGAGAGGACTTGCCCCTGTCCTGATAAGAAACTCACTGCCATTGAGGCAATGCCGACCCACAGCGACCCGATAGGACAGGGTAGAACTGCCCCTGTGAGTTTTCATGAGCGTCACCCTTTACGAGAGTAGAAAGCCCCATCACTCTCCAGGAGCGTATGGCTCCCAATGGCCAGTCTTACGTTAGCCGCCCCGCCAGGTAACCGCCCTACCACCAGGGCTCCTGCACACTAACTAGAGTTGCCAGGAGTTTCACCCTGGAGAACAGGGGACCAAAGCTTCAGAGCAGCCAGCTCAACCTGGCAATGAGCTGCTGTTGGTAAGCTGGAGCAAGTTGGTAAGCTGTTCAGAGCACAAGGCTCCATCCACAGAAAGTCTCTCCAATGACAGCAAGGATGCTCTTGCTACCGCTACTGCCCACAGGAAACCCAAAGCTCTGGCTACTCATACTTGAAGGAATTTTACTTGGGTGGAAAAAAAAAATAGGCCAGCTCGACCGGGTCACAGCTAGAGGTGGGAGATTTCAAAGCTCCATAAAAGAGGAGCTTTCTACCCACACAAGGTAGCCTGGGCGAGTCTGGAAACAGTGAGGACCAGGCCCCTGGAGGTATTCCCACAGATGCTGGAAAGAAGGGAGTTGCAAACCTTAGGGGAAGTTGAAGTACATGGTCCTAAAGAGCTCTTGTGGTGTACTGGGTTATGGGTTAGCCTGCTAACCACAGCAAGGTCAGCAGTTTGAAACCATGAGCCGCTCCAGGTGAGGCTTTCTTTCACATAAAGGGTTAAGGCCTCTGAAATCCACAGTTCTACCCTGTCCTATAGGGTTGCTATGAATCAGAAGCAAGTCAACGGCAATACGTTTGGTTTGGGTTTTGAAAGAGCTAAGCTAACAGAGCAGCCAGGTGTCCAAGTCCACTCGCTGCTCCACAGGGGAAAGAAAAGGCAGCCAGCTCCTGTGGGGATCTGCCACCTCGGAACCCCTGGGTGCAGTTCTGTTCTACCCAATGGGGTCGTTGAGTTGGAATCAGCTCGATGGCAGCGGGTCCTTGTTTTTTCCTTTCTTTCTTTTTTTGTAAGAGGTTAAGCCTTGCTAATGTCTGTTCTCCTTAGGCCAAAAGCTTCTCTTCTTTGGAACGCAGGCTCCCCATGTTTAAATGACAGCTATGTCTTCCGGCCCTCAGGGAGGGGACTAGAACCAATGAACTCAACTCAATTTAACACACGTCCTTCCTAGTGGCAGCAATGTGTCATCAGTGAGGAGTGCGGCAGCCCTAATACCCTTGAACGGTCCCCAGTCTCCTGGCCAAACAAAGGTGCGTATGGAAATGGCGAAAACGGAAGTCTGCAGGAGAGCCAAAACACTCACTCGTGCAAACAGTTCAAGTAGAAGGAAGATCTATGAGGCAGGGAGGGGGGATGGGGAACGAGGAGCTGACACCAAGGGCTCAAGTAGAAAGAACATGTTTTGAGAATGATGGCAACAAATGTACAGATGTGCTTGACACAATGGATGGATGGATGGTGATAAGAGCTGTACAAACCCCCAATAATAAAAGGATTTTTTTTTTTAAACAGAGAGAGAGAGAAGGAAGATCTGGAAGAGGGGGCAAAATGTTTCAGAACACAGAGGAAGGGCGGAGGGACCAGGAGAGTGTGTTTTGGCCGGAAGCCCTCTACGGGACCTTAGGCCTTCCTCACAGGAGGGGTGAGAGGATGGGAGATGGCTTGCCATCCGGAGAGCAGCAAGAGGCCAGTCTGGCCTCCGTGGAAGTGGGAAGGTGGAGAAGGATGTGTGACAAGGGTTTAAGGCAGCTTGCTATGGAGTTGATGTCGACTCACAGCGACCTATAGGACAGGGTAAAACTGCCCCTGTGAGTTTCTGAGACTAACTTTTTACAAGAGTAGAAAGTCCCGTCTTTCTCCTGCAGAGCGGCTGGTGGTTTTGAACTGCTGACCTTGCAGATTGCAGCCGACACATAACCACTGCACCACCGGGCTCCTCTGGCAGCAGATAAGGGAGAACTATTTATTTTGGTAGTCAAGGAGAATATCAAAGGTTTCTGAAGCAGTGACCACCCCTTCTGGTTCCAACATTCTGGCTCACCTGGCCTTGATAAACTTCCGGCAAGTGTCAACGACATGCTCCATCTGCAGATACATAGCCGTGGCCATGACAGCCATGATGTTGCCCTCCCGCAGATTGAGCCGAGATGTGTACATGAAGTCCAAGAGGATGCAGAACCCCTCAGGGTTGATCTCAGGGTCCAGATTGATCACACTAAGGTTGCACTTCAGCTGGTCTGTGAAGATGCTGTAGAACAGGCCACTGGAAAACACACAAACACTTCACTGGAGCGGACAGGTCGACTCTGAGGGCAGTATGGTCACCATCCATGCCCGAGCCCTCTCCTGCTGCTCCAGGGCTTTGGAGGCAGGGAAGAGTAGCTACCATTTATGGAGCTTTCTAAAGGCCAGAGAGTCACTAAGCACTCATGGATCTTTTCATGCGCCCACCAGCCACCACCTTGCTAGGTCGTTCTATCATTATCCCTGCTTTACAAATGGGGCAGGCAAGATCGGAGCCTGTTTTCCTGCAAGTCTTACCGGCATGGGTCACCATTGTTCGTAGATGTGGCCCAGTCGATTTGGACTCATGGTAACCCCATGGGACAGAGTAGAACTGCCCCACATAGTTTTCTTGTTCAGAATTTCTATGGGAGCAGATCACCAGGTCTTTCTGCCACAGCACAGCCGGTTGTATTCGAACTGCTGACCTTTTGGTTAGCAGCCGAGCGTTGCACTCATTCCACCTGCATCGGTTACCAGGGTTAAGTTTGGTACTGATTTACCGTTTGTTCCATAGAATAAGCATGTCCCTTCTTGTGCCATCACCTAATTTTTTACCAAATAGTAATACTAACAATAACTGCTATTGTATTTTTTTAAGTCACCTGGGTATGGGCGATAAATAAAAATATATACCTATATTTATGTTATACTGCTTATTTACAAGTCCATAGACCACGGTAGGTCAGTTACTGCTGGAAGATGCAAGTCAAACCTCAAGCCATGGCTTTAGGTCCCATCTTGACTGGTAGTGAAAATTACATTCCACTGTGAGCCAGAATTCTGGGCGGCTATCTTAACTCTCAAGAGAAAGATAAGGGTTTCTACTCCCATAAGGATTTAGGTCTTGGAAACCCCAAGGGGGAAGTTCTAGTCTGCCCTTTAGGGTTGGGCTGGGCTGGAAATGCCATGAGGGCAGAGGGTTTTTGAGTCTTGGCTGTGAGTAAGTTGCTGAATATGAGGCAGATTCCCTAGGTTTGAATGCTAGCTCCACCACATGCTAGCTATGTAAGCTTGGGTAAGATGTTTATCATCTGTGTCTTGATTTCCTCATCTGTAAAGCAGAGAGACTATAGTACTTATCTCAGGGAGCTATGCAAGAATAAAAGTGCAAAGAGTTTATAGCACGGTGCCCGGCACATGTAAGGACTCAATGAACATTATCATTTTTAGGTAACAGACAAGGGCTGTTGACATCACAGCATTTATGAGGCTGGCCGTGTTTTGTTCTGTTATACACAGGGTCGCCATGAACCTGAAGCGACCGGTACCCAACAACAACAATGAAATTGGATTTCTATCTCTAGAGACCACTGTTCTAACCAATAATAATTTTGTTTTTAAAAAATTGCTTATAGCAGATCTTGAATACACTTTCTACTAACAATAGAGATCCTAGATTCGATAGCTCCTCATTGACCCATGCCTTTCTGCCCCATCTATACAATGGAAGGAGTAGTGGCAGCCATATCATACAGAGGCTATTATGACAATCAAGGGTAAAGGAAGTAAGGCAAAGGGCTGTGAATGAAATTGACAAACTGACAAATAGGACGAAATAGCTGGCTTACTGTCACAAACACTTTGCATACACCCTCGTACGCCCATAAAACTACAGTGGAGACACAGCTACAAAACCAGAGCAAACAGTTTCACAATCACTTGCTTGGAATATTGACAGACTCCTTTGTGCCTCCTTGCACTGGTTAGCTAACGTTAATCCCCATGCTTGCTCCCAACACATCTTTCCCTGGAGTAGTATACGATGTCTTCCCTCATAGTACGTAGAGGACAGAATCTCTTCTGTAAACGGGTGTTCCTTTAGTCTCCTCCTGGGGGCTTGTCCCACCAGGACACGTGGAGACTGCTGGAGCCAAATGAGGCATGACCCCAAGGCAAGCCAGTGGCCCGAAAGTCCACCGTGCTGGCTTCCCCACCCAGAGCCCTTTACTAATCTGCCCTTCCCTTCCAGACGCCTCACCTGCAAGCCATGAGGACTGTCTTATGGGCTCTGAACTGCTCACGGCTCACCACGATGACAACATCCGTCAAAATGTCTCGACTCCGGAGGCGGTTAAGGTTGAGAAGTACGTCGCTGGCATGGCGGGTGAACTGAATGCAGCTGTCTGCCGCGGAGGCCATTTTGTCTTCACCTGAAAAAAAAAAGAAATGAGGGTCAGAAGCCTTGGGTTCTCCAGAACCTATGCCGAAGAGGTGGCTCTGCCAGCCAAGGCAAGTCAGGCCACACCATGGTTGCGGAGCAATTCACACCTGTCTCTGGCCTGACTCTTCACAGCTGTACAAGCGGGGAAATAAGCTTTACCCAATACACTGAGATCCAAAACCCTTTAGGAGGAAAAAGCAAAACAGACAGACTCACTGCCACTGAGCCGAGGCCGACACATAGTGACCCTATAGGACAGGGAGAACTGCCGGGTGGATTCAGAACACTGTCACTCTACAGGAGTAGAAAGCCCTGGCTTCCTCCTGAGGAGCGGCTGGTGGTTTTGAACCACTGACCTTGCCGGATGGCAGCCCAATGTGTAATGACTCCATCATCAAAGGAAGAAGTTAAATGTTTGTTGAGCATTTTTACTAAATGCCAAATACCCTGCTCAAGCGCTGAGATGCAATGTGTTTCAATGGAGAGAACACTTTGCTTTGAAGGTTAGCATGCTGTCTTTGGCCAGCTGTGTGACTTAAAGCTGCTACCGTTTCTGGGCCTTGGGTTCCCCTGCAGTAAAATGGGAGTAGAGCTACCTATGTGGTTGCAGAAATTAGAATGATATGCCTAACCCATAACTGGTTCTCAAAAATAGCAGCTATGGTCATCAGTATCTGATTACATGGTCACCCTCCCCTATTAGGCCTCACAGCTGTTTCTCTCTGTACACCAAGCACCACCAAGTGACAAAATTAGGTTGGAGTTATTAAGTGAGTAAGGGCATGAGCGACCATAGAACAGGGTGAAGGTAGTTTGCTGTAGGCACCCAGGGTAGGGCTGGCAATGATAAGGAGGGAACCAGTTATCCTTTGTCTCACAGAATGAGAGGAGTGCCCAGATACACATGCATTGGCGAATTCAAAAGAAACCGTTGGACAGCAAAAGGTTACAGCATATAATTCAACTTACCTTCCCCGCTGCCTTGATTCACAGTCCCAAATTTTGCTTAAAACCTGCAGGGAAAAGAGGAGAGAAAACAGGAATTGATTCAATGAATGTAAGACTGTCCACTATAGTTTTATTTTAGGACACACATATTTAGTTTTGCTTTGGAAGCTGCAGCCTGCCAGCTGGTGCGGTTCTACCACACACTCCAAACATACCCAGTCCCTCTCTTACAGAAACAACAGGCATCAGGAGCCATGCAAAACTGAGGTTTTTACCCTGAGGACTGGGACTACCAGGGCCTGCGTTCATTTCAGTGCATAAACACATTCATATATCTCCTTTCTCCCAGTAAAAATACTACATAACCATCCAAAGGCTACTTGAGTTTATTGGCAGAGCAGGGGTGGGGGGCGGAGAAGAAAAATGTTTCTTTCCATATTAATGATAAAGATCCTCAGGGGACCTAAAATCACTGGTCACGTTTCTAAACCTGCTAAAAGACCACCTTTCAAGTCCTAGAATAATTGCACAAGGCTGGCAGGGTCAATATCTTTATGCTGACTTCACTGGTGATGAGACAGGAAGACTGAATATGGAATATACGGAGGACAGCCTGAATAACCTCTCCTTGAGAAACCCTCTTGGCTGCTCCCACCCCCTTCCCTCCTGGTTTTGAGACTAGGCCATCATCTACAGCTCCCAGGCCTGTGCTTCCCCCTGGTGGTGAAGGACTTAACTATGTGGTTGGCTGAGGACAGACCACAGAGAGCCATCGATTTTAAAGCGATTCAAGAAGCATGTACCCTCTTGGACTTCTTTATCTCTCAAATAAAATCATCGAAAGGAAAGGCGTACGAATCGCTTATGATGGTAGTCTGTGAGTTGCAACATTAAACGACAGTGGAACCCACCCTCCCCTTCTGTAAATGCACAGCCTTTTAGAATTACTTCCTGGGTAAAGAGACTGAGACCAGCGAGGTCACATTGGGCCATGGAGATGTTTGGTGGCCCGGTCCCAGGTCTCCTGGCTCAAATGCCTGCCCCCACTCCGAAATAGCCTACGTGCTGAAGAGCATGAAGGGCAACACTCTCATATGGGTGAATCTTGTCTTAAACCTTCTGTCCCCACACCAACACTTTGCCCCACTGCAGGCTGCTGGGTCTTACCAAATGAGCACTCTAAAATGAGCGGTTTCCTTGAGTCTGTAACCAAACACTTTGACATTTCTCTGTGGTCTCAAGTGCCAGTCACTCAAGCTCGTCAGCTTCAAGGTTAGTGTAGGCATGTGAGTGAGTGGGTGCCAAGGTGAAGGTAATGGGGAAAGGGAAAGGACAGAAAAGGACAAAAGGAGCAATCTCCTCTCACCCAGCCCTAACTCACCACAGGGAGAGAGGCACCCAGCCCAAGCGACTGCCTTCCAGGCCATTCGAGACACACTGAATCGGTCCTATTGAAAAGTGAATGACTGTCTCCTCCGAGAACAAAATGCTGCAGACACATGGGAGCTTTATTTATAAACTGTCTCCTCTCCTCGTCATAGAAGAGATTCCAAAACACCTCCGGAATACCTGGCTGTCCTTTAACCAGCTCTGACCGCTGGCTCACTTAGGGATTTCCAGTCACAGGCATTTGTCACCGCCAGAAACCCAAATTTGCCATTTCACCTTGACAAGTAGCAGTGACTCATTCCAGATGTGGCTTGAAACAAATAAAGACAGCAATTCCCCTGTGTCTGCTGTGGGACAGGCTCTGGATTGGGCACTTTGTCACCCTAAGCCTCTGCCTGGCTAAAAGCATACCCATACACTAAGGTTTCCATCTTTACTCTGTCTTAGCAGCCCCTCGCCCCAAACCGGTGAGAGGGACGGTGAAGGTGAGTGAGGGCTGCCTGGCCACCCCTCTATGTAGCAGGAGTCCAAGCAGCACCAATGTTTGCTGCACGTTGATGGCTTTGTTTTGGGGGTCACGCAGCCCTTTCCCCATCTACCACCATAGCTGATCCTTAGAAACCACTGGAAGGAAAGGCACTGAAGTGCCAGAGCACAGGCACTGACCAAGATTGCAATGTTAATCCTTAGCAAAGTCCAAGGCAAACCCATCTTTTAGCTCCTGCCACACTACCCGTGCCACATGCAAAATGCATTCCACTCACAACACAAAACACTGTCAAGAGGGCCCGACCCATGAACCAGAAAGGAACAACAGCTCAGGCCCAGGCCTGCTCTGCCCTTTCCCTTCTCTCCCCTCAGTCCTCCCCTCCTCCCTTGGGTTAGATAACTACCAACTGAGAGTTACAGGCTGTCCGTTCATCCCCGTTGTGTTTTAAAGTAGGCACCAGGAGGAGAAAGAAGAACCTCCCTTAGAGAACAGGAAGAAAGCTGCAAAGGACTGTGAGGCAGAAGAGGGTAAGAGAGAGGAGAGAGTGGAGAGCAAAAAGGGAGAGGAGAGGTTAAGAGCGAGAGAGCGAGCCAATACCAAAGACCCACATCCTTTTCCTCCTTCCTCCCCTCTGCTGACACCAGGGAGCCCAGTTCTCTCTCCCACAACACAGGTACAGTCCCAAGGGTCGCCTTGCGCTCCTTGACAAACCCAGCA